GTCACATACGCACAACTAATGTACGCACTCATAAGACAGACTTTTAGTGATCAAATTGATGGTTGTTGACTATTTATTCCTCCTACACCAGTACATCATTTAATGTATCAATGTTCTAGATCAAATTCTATGCTGTTCCTTGGCAGCCTGTGGTTTTGCTTGTTAAGAAACCAGAGGTCAAGGAGTGTGAGAAGCCAGAACATTTGTGCCCAACTTTTAGGATGGTAGAAAAAAAAAAAAATATTTTTGCTTTCAATTTATTTATTTTAGTAATTTAAAAAAATAATATATTCAAAACCCTTCCCACCTGAAGTACGTGGATAATCAATACATTTAAACACAGATCTCCACACCCGTCAAGCCATACAACTTTTCCCACTGAAATTTCATATTTGCAGTGATGTTACTACCAAAATCCCTTGCGGTAGTAACATCACTGCAAATGTTGATCTTCCTGCAGGAAAAGTCGTGTGTATTACCCAAATTGGTTGAAGTGGAACTTACAAGTATCATGGCTAATATGTAGAGCTTGAGGACGAGATCACAAAGATGCACAGTGTAGCCATGATAAAGCCTAAAATAACTTATTTGGTGTGCTGACAAAAGTCCCAAAAGCATTCATATCCCACCACTGGAATTAGATCACATCAGCAGGAAAAAGTGGAAATGCGTAAAAAGTCTTTTTATTCAAATTTATGGGAATAGAACACACACATCAGTGTTAAACCCCCACGTAACCACCAACATTTGCCAAATCCTATTTCTGAACTACAGTGAGGTGGAAGTGTGATTCATTGTAAACTTGCTGAACTTACGAAACGTCTATAATTTAAGGCTAATCGCATCTAATCCTACTATAAAAGACTTGTCAAAGTTTGGCCTTCCAGCTGTTGCTGAACTATATCTCCCATAATTCTTTGCCAGCCACGACTGGACACTCCTGTACTGCAAACTAAGTTTCTTCCTAAGATGTATTGTTTATTTAGAATCTAACCAAAGTGCTTCAACATTGTATAAATATAATAAATCCTAATGAAACATTAAAATATTTACCCTATAAATTACAGATCAGTTAAACACCATTCTCAAAACAATAAGTATACCAAAAATCTATTGGTGACTCCTTTTGCTGGTGGGAAATCAGTGGTGTGAACACTCTTTGTACATCATCAAGCATTGTGGCTGTAGACACAAGCAACATGACAGCTCCATAAGTCTGATCATTGGGAAATGGAGGTCCAAAGCTATAATCAAATCACTAGTTTAAACATATTGTAGTTGTTAAAGAATGGTTTAAGTACAGTTACTGTACTCAAACCATTCCAGTTAGCCAGCTCCTGGAACAAATACACCATAGCAAGGGTGTCACTTCTTCTACTACACTTTTTTTTTTTTTTTTTTTTTTGATAGGTTTTTGGTGACTTCCTGTCTGTATCCAGTTTTGAGCAGCATACCGTCGGTCCGACTCCCTCATCCCTGTGTGTTGCAATAGGTATACCAGACTAGTACACCTATATTGTAGTTTTTAGCCCTACCGGAAGTATATCTGATTTTTAGATTTAAAAAAAAAATGTAACCTTGAATTTAACACTTTTTTAATGTTAATTTCACTCTGGGAACTTGGTAAATCACCAGCTCAGTTTTGTTTGGACACAGGCTCCCGTTTTGTGTGTGTGTGTGTGTGTGTGTGTGTGTGTGTGTGTGTATGTTTAAAAAAATAAAAAAAAGCCTGGGCAATAGCAAATTACACTTTTTTATTTTTATTTTAGCTTACTCTTGCAGTGAGATAGGAGCAAGGCACATCTAGAACACAGAACTATAAAATCATGAAACACTCGGAGGAGGAGGCTCTTCTTCTGAGTATTTAAGGATTTAATGGCTTCTGCGTCCTATGGCAAAGCATTGGACATTCATATGACTCTCTTAAAAGGTTCAATTTATGATTTACAGTTGATTATGTGCATTACAACTCACTCATGTGTAGAGTACATCGTAAGGACTCTGTACCGGATTCTGGAAAATGTCCGCTCACTGCACGCGTGTATAACATAATTTAATTCCCAAACCCTCAGGAGACGCAGATAACTTGATGGAATTCCGTTTGGAAGATACTAACTGAATACAGATCCATTCTTAAATGAAACCTCATAAAACATTTTCTTATGGTTTGGATTCGCCAAAAGTCATGCTGAGAGCATCTTTTAGTGGAATGTTTTTTTGTTAGTCAGAGGATGTCTGTGTTTTTGGCACAATCTAAATAGGCATAAACTCCGTAAATTACTCCCCTAAGGAAAGCTATCTGGGATTTATTCACTAAATACTTAATTGTGTGAATTGTAAAATTAATTGCAAAACTAGGTTATAATAGCCAAGTTGTGATTCTGTGTCAATTGATTGCAATATAGATTATTTGTGAAAATACAGCATCTGCCTCCGGTTTACCAATTTGTTTTCTATACCCATGTATCTTGATGCATTTTAGGCTACAACATCTAGGCATCTTGGTTTTTATTGATCTGTAAATTACATACTTATGGCGTATAAATTATTTTTGCTTGATGGCAATTCCACTCAGCAGGCGAAACTCTGTATATTTTTATTTTTAATTTTTAACTTTTTTTTTTTTTTTTGTAGTAATCTTTCCCTAGCATATGATCAGTCCAGGATATGACACAAAGCAGGTGGTTTGTGTGGGCTTGTCTTTAGATGTTCTAACAATTCTGATGCATGATTTGAGATTTTCCCAAGTCTGCTATATTGATATAAAATTTCAACTTCTCCTCATTTCTTGATTTGGTGAATCACTGTGTTAACACTGGAGTTTCCATATGCACCATTGATGGGAAAATGTACTCGTTTGTGTAAAAATTCCAAACAAATGATTCTTGGGTGGTAATCTGGCTCTCGAATCTCCCAATGTAATTTTGGATGTTGCTATAAAACTTACAGTTCTGGTTTGTGCATCTCGGGATTTAAATGTAATCAATAAAATGGATGGTGCAATTATGATTCCATTAACAACCATAATATATTTATAGATGGCACTTTCAGGACTTTTCAAAAGTTAAAATATAGCATTTATTGTCATTTTACCTAAAAAGTCAATGTTTCATCTTAAGCTCTCCTCAGGACATAACATGGTCATTCACAATCCCCACTTTATATACCATAGAAATTTACTTAACCCCACCTGTACAGCAACAGACTCCGAGGATGCTCAGACCAAGACTGCCGCGGGTCACACCGACCTCCTGGCGTAATTAGGTAGAATAACATTTGTTAAAGAACATCCACCCTGTCTCCCCAATGTAAATTCTTTATTTGGGAATAATGGACATTTCTCATCCTGTATATAGATGTTCATATAAGTGATATTGCAGCCTGCCGTGATTTGATGTTTTTATCATTGTTTTTAAATTACCTGTTTGAATTATTTTGCTTGGTGTTTAAAGGGATCTTCATGTCAACGATTTTACAATGACAGAGAGGTTATGTTTAGAGGTGAAGAAGACCATACTTAAATCAACCCACACTCTATGAAAACATAATAAAAGGACATCACTAAGATTTGGTATAGTGTTATAGTTTTGGGAGGGAAATGGGGTTAGGTAGAAACTGCCTTAAAGCTCCTATGACTTGAAGGTAGGTATCATAAACTCCTCCTTTCTTATTTTGTAGCAGAATAGTAGCTGGTGTGACATGATTGCAGCATTATCATCACAATATTTATCTGTGACTTTTTTTTTTTAATAAAATTTTATTTAAAACCTTTTTTTTTCTGCTTTAAGTAGAGACTTCTCTGACACGGGTTAGAGACCAATGGAAGTGTTTTGCACGATTTCAGCTCAATGAAGTTGTCATGGGGGCAAGAGAATCATCATACCATATTCCCTTTAGAATTTAAACATAGAAACCGATCCTTCAACATCTCTGCCTCCACTGTTCCTTCCACACAACTGTGGCAATATGTGGAAGGTCTGCTATGCGGCTGGTGATTGATTACATAATTTTCTCTTAATTTGTGGTCAATGATAGGTTGAGACCAGCACCGGCCACCAATCAAACCTTCCTCGTTTTGATGTGTCTAGAAGAAAGGAGGCAAAGATGGCACACCCCAGGAGACCAACCTTTCGGTTAAAATATTGGAGAATGCAGAGTAGTACTTATTTACCCAGATCTCGTGACTCAGACAATTCTCAAAAGTAGGTTTCTCTAAGACCAATGCAGCTGATACAGCCATCGCTATGGCCAGAACTCGGGGGTACAAACCTGCTAACTAAATGTAATACTGGTATAGTAGCGTCATCATCACTCTTTTTTTATTTTGTTAAACTTAACTTTTCTTCCTTCATATACACTGCTTGGTGTTGTGGTAACATACCTTTTTAATTTGGCACAAGAAGGGCTGAAATCCTACTGCCACACTGATACAACAGGCTGCAGTAAATGTTATGAGGTTAATAGTCTAGAACGGAGCAGTGTGAGTAAGTATGAATTAATGACTGACTGTAACTGATTAAAAGAAACTCCAGATTTTAATCACAGCAAGTTTAAACTCATTCACAGGGACTGATACTTTTGCTGGTGGACCCCAGATAAGTTGTCAAATCATTCTTCACAGCTTTACTTCTAATTCTGTGGTGGTGCCTTGAGTGCCCTGGTGGCCTAACCAGAGGCTGTTGATCTTAAACGAAGGGTGCCTGAAAGGTAGATCTCCAGATGTTGTAGAACTGCAACTTCCATGATGCTTTGCATGCCTTTGGAATGCCTTTAGAATGGCAAAGCATCATTGAAGCTATAGTTTTAAAACATCTGCGGATCTTACTTTTGGGCGCCCCTGCTCTAAAGCATTCTCCCCAGAGACCCTCAGCATAATGTTTAATATCCGCCTTATTAAGTTTGCTCTCTCCCGTTCACTTAATCTATAGCAGTGAAAGAAAAAAATCACACACACATATCCTTAAGAAAACAACATTTATTGAATAAATATTGTATAAACAGGCTGAGCAACACAGTAGGTTCTGCACACAAGTCAATGGGGTGGACTCGAGCCTTACCGTTTGCTACACACACTAAACATCAAATTACACCAACTGTCTATTTCGTGCCAACATTTTTTTTTTTTCTGTTTTTAATTCCCCAGTAGGTTTCATTGTTTCAGACCAACGTCCATATTCACAAATCAATAAACAATCCAGAACATGCCACTTTAAATTTTTACAGTAAGCACTACCAAAAAAAGGGTTGAGATTTTCAAGAAATATTCACGATGCATAATACACACACCCAAACATCACTCCATACAGAAGAAAAAACATTGCAGTTAGAGAATACCTCCATTTTCGTTAATACAATTAGAGCAGTTTTCTCTTAAATTAATAAACACTGTTGGTAAAGTAAAACAAAACCAATTTTAAATTTTTTTTTTTTTTTTTTTTTTCCCCAACAAAAATTGATGACTACTGCTTGCAAAATGATCACACAAATGTAAAATCAATCACCACTTTAAGCAGCCAAGGGGAGCCATACGAGTGTACCCCATTCAGCAGTTACATTTTAAACCTAAAAAACAAAGACTAACGTATAAATCATTAAAAAAAAAAAGTCAATGGTGATAGAGAAAATTAACAGATTTAATAAACGAGGATGACATGTTCACAGTGTTTATTGTAAGCCCCGAGATTTGTTTAATATATTACATCACAAAAGGTCATTCAGCGTAACATGGACAAAAAGAAAAAACTACGCAAACAAACATGTTCTTCGCAAGGGAATTGTTGAAATGTAAATTAATTACATTCTTGCACCATTAAATTTCAGAAAAATGCCCTATAATTGTACAATATTCAAAATTGGCACACACATATATAAATTGGGTATCTATACAGTTTATTTCTGTGACCTTCCTAGAATATGTCAAGACTTGGTAGAAGTATTTTAGAGTTCAAGTATTTGTATTTGTAGAGTTACCACAACCCTTCTGAGTGCCAGAGAATCATTGTGTGTTCTAGGCATCCTGACACTCTTATGGGTAACAGATCTGATTTCTAAGAGACTCAAGAAAGATTAATTACTGACAACAAGTTGGTCAAAGTAGTTGTTGTCAATGAAAGTGCAATGTTTGTCATGTGCTAAAATAAATCCTTTAACACCTTCAGAATCCAACATGAAAGGATGAACATACAAACTATGTTATGCTTTTTTTTTTTTTTTCTTCTTCTTCTTCTTGGCAATACATTCTTCAATTTACAACTTTAAGCAAATAACAAACCAATATCTGACATACATATGGCCAGGTTTCACTGTTACCATGACTGCATCATGTGTATACACCTTTTTTCTGTATCTATTACTTTAATTATAGCAGCTATAAGTAATATTTAAGAAGTTTAAAACACTGAAAATTAACACTACTAATATTGGATATATATACTACATACTGTCTTCTCACCCAAATGGCTAGTTACTTCTGGCACTGGAAAATCCCTGATTTTGTTATTTTACAATTCCATGGTTATGAAATTTAGCTGTTCCGTTTCTTTTAATACTAATTTTCTACATGTTGTCATCACAAAATTGGTACACTAGGACACCCCTGACATTGACCATCATTTGAAATCATCGACCCGTAACTGTTCTGATCACTCAATTTAATAAACTAATCCGATACCACATGTATATTGCGCTTGCTAATGTTTAAACTTTTTAAAAAAAATTTTTTAGGGTGTGATATAAATTAGTTCCACCTTCTTTTGTCACTTAAGTCATTGGCATAGTGTGTGCGCTCACCTCTATGCCATGGTTTGATTGACAGGAGAGCAGGACAGCAATTTTACAATCGCTCTACTTGTTGTGTTATACTTATAGCATTTTATTCCTGGGGTGGGATATAAGCCATAGCAGAAGGCAGACATGACAATAGGCACTGAAATGCAGGACAGCTGGGGAGTATTTAATTAACTTCTTATTCAGCATTAAAATTACCATAAATTATATACTTATTCGTAGGATTATTGATAATCTGGTTGTTTCAATTTCTAATCCAGATTCCTGAACGGCAAAATTTCTAAACAGATGTAAGTGTTTCAATTTAATTTATATATTTTTATTTTTTCCTCTCTCTTTGTGCATTTCTATGGCAGTGCTAGGAAATGCTATGCACACCTGTTTCAGTATCGGCGCTTCCAGTAGGCAAATCAGACATTTTCCTAGATTGCCAGTTTTAATTTCCTTGAATCACCTCAACACTGTGAGGGAGAGTGTGGTCTGTAGCTCCATGGGTACAGACCAGCTAGCTCCTTCAGGGTTCCGTCACTCAATGTATGACCTGGCATATAATGTACTACAGCTAGGCACAATGAGGCCTAGTGGAAGGCAATCCACAGATTTATCTCTTGTGATTCTCTGTTAGTCCATAAATGGCTAAGAATTCTTGTGTCCTACACTGTTTTTGTTGCTAAATGCAGCTTTGCAACCAGTGTCCAAATCCAATTGGTTTTCTGATCAATACAAATTTATTTTTCGGTTAATTATATATATTTTTTCTTTTAAATATTAATGCATGTATTGTGTGTGCATGGAAACTGACTTGAGTTGTGTAAATAAGGACTGATGAGATTACATCATATATTGGTTTGGAGTCTTGATATTAATTAGAATCTGTAAACCTCTGCATTGTTTAATGGTGTATGTGGTGGGAGACAAACGTGGTGGATGACCTCGTGTTCGGGAACTGAGATTTCACGGGGAAGAAAAGAAATTCATGTAATTAGTAATGAATCATGAGGGTTTTAGTGGCTTATACAATGGCAACACTGCTTGATATATAAATGATCTAATCTCTTCTTAAACCCACGTAGTATTTCTTTACTAGAAATTCTAGGTGTGTGTGTGAGAATATATGGCCCTATCAAGTTCTAAGTGTCCCTAAGTCTTGCTGGAGCCCCTCGGTGTTGGTGGAGATTCTTAGCATAACCTTTTTTAAATGCATAGTAAAGAGTCATTATTGTGTAAGCATTAATAACTTGCAAGAGTTTAGGGGTCTGTCCTCCTAATAATACAAAAAAAATCCAACAGAGATGCTTTGGACAGGGGAGTACATATTGTTCCAACTGGCTGGTTATGAAAATGTTCCAATTACCACTTGATGTGCTAAAAGTACCGATTAGACGGGTTTCTTTTGATTTGACTGGCACCAATACAGTAGAGGTACCTCATCAAACTTTTGAGACTGCATAATGGTACATTACGTGGAAAGGATGGCATGAGAACAGATTTGATTCATTTTGTGTATATTATCTTATTTTTTTTTAATTTTATTTTTTTACATTTTCTAAACTCTCAAAAATTGAGATTTTTAGAGAGCTGGCAAGTGTACATACGTGTATTTACTTTTCAATTTCAATGCACCTGAACAAAACCAGCTGTAGTCCTTTATTATGACACTGTTACAATGTAATCTAATCCAGCAATGTTCCCATTGTTTCCACAACAATATTGCTGTCCTTACATCCTCATCTTGACAATGAGATTATCTCCAAGTTTCCAAATCTTTTTCTTGCTGTCACTGATAGTATTGAGCAAAACAGCTGTCCTTGGCCTGTTTCCGAGCCAAACACTACTCTCCGAGCTATGACTACGCTATACAAAGACATGTTTACCACCAAATATTGCAAAAATAATAAATACATTTTGGATTGGTCCCTGCTCTTGTTTACACCACAGAGGAAAAAATACACAAATAAAATATCAAATGTGAGGCCACCCATGCAGAATTAAACTGCTTATCTTTTTCCAAATGTAGTTAAAAATGAAACCTCAGTAGTGTTCTGACATCGAGGGCCATGAACCTACTGGTGTGTTAAGAGTTAATATGTTAAAATGTAAGTAGCCAGGTAATATTGTGTGATAATGTGTTTTTTTTTTCTTTTCAGGGCCAGTGTTTCATGTAGGCCAATTATGCAGTCACCTAGGATGTTCTTAAGGGGTGCGTGCAACAACTGTACTTCTCATTTGCCTCACTCTCCTCAAGTGGAACAATACATGCTGCAACTTGAGCCATGATGTAAACAACATTGGTGGGTCATGGCACTGGGTGCCAGCCCAACCACAAAGGTCAAATATATTGACTGGTAGCTTACAACTAGGCACTCGCAGACATCTAGCAATTAAGGTGGCAATGCAAGGGCGCATTGTACGCTTGCTCCCACCCTCTGACTTGTGCATGGGGACATGTGTGCGGTAAGTGGGGCTGGGCAACAGGGACGGGAAGAGAGATGTTCCACCAGATGCTTGAGACTCCTGGGCAGTCAGCTAAAGGTTAGCAGTCACTGCGAGGGCTCCCATGGTAGAGAATACATGCACTATCACTACTCGCCCCTACCTTGTGCGTAGTAGCAAACAGAGAGCTTGTTCTACCACCACCGTGTAGCGGAGGAACCAGACTACAAAGTTTAACATCTTCCTGTCATCTGGGGGTTAAGTAGGCACTCAAGTCTAGTGGCACTAATCACGAATATTTCGCTAACCTACCTCACAGTAGGCCACTCCCTTTCTCCACCACATCAGTCGGAAAGCTCAGGCAGAAATCTGCTGGCTCTCTGGTTGATGTAGTGGACAACGGGAGCAACTCCCGGTGGACGCAAGGTAAAAAGTCAAACTATTCTAACATGATTTGGCTGCTTACACTGTGAAGAGGGAGGGGCACCCCACATGCAGTGTTTATAGTGCTAGGAATGCTACATTGAACTGTGAAATTTAAGAGAGCTATTCATGAAAGTGAGAATTGCCATACTGTAAGTTGTATGATGCCATCTGTGCATTCTGCTTTGTAATGTAATGGTGCAGTGTAGGGGCCTCTCAGGGCTGGGCTGGAGCATGGGACTAGTAAGAGTCACTTCCCAGGCAGCAACTCTTATTTTCAGCTGACATCATTAACACAGTTCCTCTTCTGAAAGTAACATGCTAGACAAACTGTGTGATTCTATCTGCAGGTCCCCAATGGCATTATTTTCTTTGAAACATTTTACAATTTTACAATTGTGTATCACAGGTATCTCTTTGCCCCCCACCCCCCAAATATGCAACAGAACTATAACTCCAATGATTCTTAGGTCATCTATTGCATTCACAGAATTAGGGATCTGTAAGTCATTAACATCCTGGGGGTCAGAGTTTGAGAACCCTGGTGTATCAGAAAAACGTTTCTATATGCCTTGAACATAGAAATGTCATCAGGTCATGAAATGGAGCACTAAAAAAGGCAACAATTTTTGAGAGAATGCAATTACATTTGGCCTATTTTAAAAACCGTTTAATGAAGGCAAAACACAACTAATTTAAAAAAAATTAGATGTGTTTCTTTTTTAGAATACTGGACCCTAATTGAGACAGAACGCTCACCTCCGAAGGTCAATCAAATGTTTCTCGTAGAGAAGCAACGAGGACACTTGCCATGTTCTCAGCAGTCTATGCAATCTGCCAATCCAATGCCTCTTATAGAGAAGCATAGGTCACACTGCTTTTTCATTGGAATACTTTGCATGTTGAAGATATAACTGAATCAGCTAGGATTGAATGAGGAAACTGTAAAATGTAAACTATGCCATTTCTGATAAACCACAATGTTCTACTGTAGAGGCAGCAACTTCATTAAAGCGACACAAACGGCATCCAGGTCACTTCGTCCCAAGAAAGTGCTCTCTATGCAGTGGCCCTGTAGTTTTGACACTGCAATGTTAAACATTGTAGTGTTTTACATGGAGGGTTAACACACCACTAGTGTGTGCCTTCCTGATAGCCACTAAAAATACTCCCCCTGAAATAGTAGATTTAGACTTGATTATTAAATCAAATGCTTCTTTTTTATTTGCACAAGCCTAACAATGCTTCCCTATGGATTGGCTATAATTTTCAAGAATGATCTTAATTGATAGGGCACCTGGGGGGAGCGAGGATGGCAGCCACCTATGTAGGTATGTTAACACTACAGTGTTAGGAAAACATGCTTGTATTTCTAACACTATTAGAGTTCCTTTAATATGAATTGATTTTTATTCAAATAAGACAATGATATCATTCTAGATCAGAGTGTAAAACTGGACTCTCTAATGCAGCAATCCTGCCAAAGTTTACAGATAAATTCAAAGTATAATCAAACATTTTAAGATTGTACATTACTGAGCAATATGCTAAAGATTATTCTGTGAATCTGATATGTCTATGGCCCTCAAGGACTGGAGACAATCCTCTTCTCTAATCCTAGGATGTGTTTCAAGCAACATTATGTCCAAAAAAAATTTGGAAGAGGAAACCCCCCCCATAATCTAATTGTATTTGTGTTTGTTGCGATTTTATTTTAATATAAAACAAATGCTGGAGAACTCTCAAGATTCATTAAATAAGTTTTGTTGTGTTTTGTTGTTTTTTTTTTTTTTTGTATTTATTTTTGTATTTTTTTCTGCTGCAGATTTCATTAACTTAGAAATAGACTTTTTGGAAACTATGTATAGAACAAGTGTTACACGGACACACGCAAACTGGTCCAAATTTAGGACCATATCAAACCAGAAGCAAAGCTAATTTTGATAATTCCAGTTTTGGCTATTTTTACCTGGAATTTGAAATTCACTTTGAATTCTCACAGTGAATAGCCCAGTAAATCTCTTAGAACTTTGTACATAAGTTTTAAGGTTACCATTTAAAGATGCATATCCGAGTAATGCTAATTAGATGCTTATGGCTTGTACAAATGTTTTTAGATGAATAATAGTGAGTGAAACTTCTTTATTATATCATCTCAAGCAGAGGCTGTGGGCTTTGGGGGCTGAGAATCCATCATTTATTTAATTTTTTTCTCCATTTCACCAATAGCTTCCTCGCACAGTAACCACTACAATAAGCTGCAGTTATTATGGTGCTTGGAGATTTCCTTTCACATAATTGTATGTTTTGTTTTTATTCTTCTTAATATACAGGTTTTGGTGGTGGTGAAGAATAATATGGAAATCTCTACATCATGGCTGCTAATCATGGTAACTGGTTGCCCATCAAATATTATACACATCATTATTATTTATTTTATTATTTATATAGCGCCATCAGATTCCGTAGCACTGTACAATGGGTGGAGTCCCTCCGATCTGTCCTTATTTGGGAAAGACCATATCTATTTTGGGCCAAATCCCTCTGTTCCTCTTTTTAAGAGCTCCACAGCAATAATACTCACAGTAATGTGTCCTTAAATTACAATAAATGTGTTTAGAAACCAGTCTGTGTAAATAAGATACAGAAACCGGAGTAATCTGAACGTACCTTTCCTGGTTAAAAACTTTTCTGTTTATTTGTTCTTACTAAAATTACATAAATAAATTATTAGTAAGTCACCTTAACTTTTTCAGAACAGCCCGCTTCTGGCCACACACCCAAAACTAAAGTGCCCCTCTTTGTCCATTTGAAATGTTAGGAGGTATGTATACATATTGGCATACTTTATCCCCTATCTCCCTGTAGAACAGTAATTTACATCACTTTGTCAGTGCTACCCAGGGCCGGACTGGGAAAAAAAATTAGGCCCGGGCATTTTTCAATTAGAGTGGCCCCCCAAGAAGGGGGCGGGGCCAGAGAGGGTGTGTTTTGTCATCACTAATGACAAGTACGCCCCTTCTGAAAGTGAGCATGTTGGTTCAATGCGCAGAGCCCCGCTGAAGAGCTCTAGCATTAGAAAAAGGCCCTGTATTTGTTCTGCGCAGCGCAAGCAAATGTAATAACATGCTTGCGCTGTGTTTGCTTTTAAATTGTCTCTGGTGTCTCCACAAGTGGGATACCAGAGGACAAAAGGGCCAGGAAAGTGTATGGTGCATGTGTTTGGCGCATGCTTGTGGGATTGCCTGTGTGTAAAGTGTGGTGTGGTATTGTGTAAATAGGTAAATTTTGTGGTGTAATATGTGTGGCTAGGGGCTGTAGAGAGTGCGTGTATATGGGCATAGTGTTATAGGGGATGTAGCGAGTGTGTACATACGGGCAGTAGTGTGTGTGTATAGGTGATGTAGTGTGTGTAGGGGTTGTAGAGAGGGTGTGTTTAGAGAATGTTGTATGTGTTTGCTTACAAGGAATGTAATGTGTGTGTAGGTGGTGCAGTGTGTGTGTGTGTGTGTGTGTGTGTGTGTAAGAGAGCTAGTGTGTAAAGGACCCAGAGTGTGTATAGAAGAGTGTGTGTGTGTGTGTGTGTGTGTGTGTATAGAGGATTAAGAGTGCATATAGGGTAAGGGATCTAGCTTGTATCTGGAGCGTAATGTGTGTAGTGGTGCAGTGTGAGGGGTGCTGTAGTGTGTGTGTGTGTGTGTGTGTGTGTGTATATATATATTTAGAATATATTTGGACGTGTTGTATGTGTGAGGTGCGCAGTGTGTTTGTGTAAGAGGGGTGCTGTGTGTGAGGGTGTTTTTATCTGCCGTCACATTCTAGGTTTCTAATTTTCTTTAACTCACTGAGGGTTATTTTATATAATATATAATGTGTGTGGGAGTGAGGGTGCTGTGTGCGTCTGGGGGTGCTGTGTGTGTGAGGGGGCTGTTACGGAATTTATTTTAAATATATATATATATTTTTTTATTAATAATTTGTCCCCCCCTTCTTACCTTTATCCTGTGAGGGGGGAAGGAGATCCGTTCTGCCTGGGGGGGGAGGAGATCTGTTCTGCCATCGTTCCCTGGTGGTCCAGTGGTGAGAGTGAACTCTAACCTGCAGGCTAGAGTTCACTCTTGCGAGATCTGAGCGTTGCCGTGGTAACCACGGCAATGCTCAGAATCCCGCAAGAGGACCCGGCGGAGCTGCTTGTTAGAGCTCCGCCGGTCCTCTCTCCTGCCTCCCTCCCCAGCCGGCGGCCGCATCTCCATGCCTGTGGGCTGGTGAGGGAGATCTTTGATCTCCCCACCGGCCTATGGATGCACACAGCAGGGCTGGCGCTCGGGTAGCGCTGGCCCTGCAGGGGCTGACAGGGGAGAGTCTGTGATCTCCCCTGCCGGCCTCAGCCCATGGCCATCGCGGCCCACAGGGCATTTGCCCGGTATGCCCGATGGCCAGTCCGGGCCTGGTGCTACCTCACAAATAAATACAAACTTCCCAAATACATTTAATAAAGTTTTTAAATTTCCCTGTTATTCTTTCATGCTTTTGGTCCAGTTAGGCTTGCCAGAGCCACCATGTTCTCTTGGACAAATGACTTCTTTGTGCTAATGTGCTTGCATGCAAACATGTCAGGACCATCTACTTTAGGCAAGAAATCCTTTATTCAAAAGGGGTCCTAAGGAAAGTTTTCTCTACTTTTTCTCAACCATTTTCCTCCATCCTTGCAGCATATTAAATGTCACCACTTATGTTGTCCATCAGCACAAAGTAGCAATATGGCACGTGTGAAAACATGTTGGATGTGGCAGTCCTAGATCCAACTCTGATAAAAGTTAAATATAAAAAAGTTATATATTTTTTCATTTAAAGTGGATCTGAGGCAAAAATGTTTACATTAATCAGAACTCCTCTATACACAGTGTTTCATTTTGCAGTTGTGGTTTTGTTTTTTTACATTGTCTTGGATCTCATTATTTGTGTCATTAACGACCCTTCCATTTTTTTTTTCTACTTGCGTCAGTCATGAAATGTTACAATGAGTAAAAATACACAATACACATGAGCAGTCAGTCAGGAAGATGAGGCCATATGCATTATGGGAATTTTAAAGTGTTCTAAATACAAGAGAGAGGCTAAATGAAGTTGAAATCTAATTTTTAAAACTCTACTTTAAACAAAGGGTTTTATGCTGAACTGATTAACGTAAATAACTTTTTTTTTTTTCTACTAGATAGGTCCATTAAAAAAAACAAAAAAAACCTATAAAATAAAGGTACTAGGTATGTACATTTTAAACAGTCTTATATTGTAATAAGCCACATACTATGTTATTTTGTACATCAACATTCTTTGGAGAGAGAACGTTTCTTTAAGCACATATGCTGCAAACATTTATATCAACACTTCAGTTCATTTTTGAGCTCTGTGAATGTCGGTATATATCAAAATTAATTTACCATATATCCATTTGCAATAACAGAAAAACACACCATAGTTTAATATATATAAATATAACCCCTTCCCTGCTGGAGACCCACGCAATGCCCTTAAAGACATAGGACTGTATGCCTCCAATGGCGACAAAGGAGTTGACTCCCGTTAAAAGACTCAAATGGTCAATATTGCTTTTACATTGGTCCCAGCCTGGCCCAGAGTACATTGTAACATTGCTTCATAGACACACACAGGATTGACATTGAAAACGTTTAGGTCTTCAGATACCTGCAAGCCATTTATAGCAGATGGTCTATCCCTAAAGGTTTTCAAGGTCAATGTCAGAGGTAAGTTTTAGTTAAACATTGCAGGGAATTGGGCAACAGAATACACCTGTGGTGACTCAGTATGGCTACAAACCTTTTTAGTGTTTTGATCTTTGGCTCATTATAATTAGAGATTTGCAAACTGTTCCACGTAAGTTCATTTGGATAAATCTGGCTGTTTTTACAGGACACAAAATGTATTTGTTGTGGGAAAACTGTGGTTGAGTTCAAGTTTGGAACACACTTTATGATAGAGGGAGACCACAGTAAAGTCTCCATTTTAGGAACGTATAAAATGTGTCCATGTTCAAATTGTTCTTTGGATACACGTATTGTTTTAATTCAAACTGGTTTAGTGATGACCACGTTTGAGGTACTCAAACAACCATTTAGATAATGGTCAACATTTGGGAAATGTTTGAATTTCTTTGGGAGACGAACTGTAAATAGTTTGCATATCTCTATTTACAGCAATGCTATGAAATAAGGAAAGAGTAGTATTTTTACCGGGAATAGGAGTTTAGAAAGACTACAGACAACATCATCAAAAAGCTTTTCAAAACACCATTCTATAATCAAATGCGTTAAAGATGGCAGCTTAGAATACAGGCAGAATTGGTGAAGGTATCTTGTAATGTAAATCTCCTGTATTTAATTTTCTACTGCTCGTAAAATAGGCTCCTGTGTGTTTGGACCATGTGACAGTCATGTGTAGTACATCACATCATAGTGTAGCTGTCGCAGAAGTGCTCGTTACGTGTTGATCACAGGTGCCCAAATCCAGCAGTTTTAATTGGAGATCTTTATTGGATAAGAATTATCCTCCTGCATCTTGCTCTTTAACTGGAAAAAAAAAAGAACAAAACAAAATCTGTGTTTTAGAGGATGACAAAACTTCACACATGCATTAAACAAGGATCCATTCCACTGACTTATTATGTTACAACCTTTCACAATATGTAAAAACAACCCATTTGCAACTTTAAATGTGATTCCCATAAATATTCCAGAGATTATGCATATGCAGCTTTTAAACTCTAGCACTTGCATGCACATTAATACAATATAATTATAATTCTATAGCTCCAGATATTTTTTTTCCCTCCAATATTAGTTGCCATTGGCAAAAATGTGTATTATGTTTAACTCTTTCAGTGACATAAACTGCATTGCTTAGCCTTCAGGAACTTAAAGGAACACTCCATGCACCATAACCACTACAGACCACTATAGTGGTTATGGTGCTTCTAGTACTATGGCACCCTCTTAGGGTAAGTACTCAAACCAACAGTTTGACAGTTTACCTGGGGTACACTGGTTGCCACCACCGCCTCCTCCATAGACAGAAGCACCTGCAAAGAGCTTCCATTAGCTCCCATGAGAGAGGAGGTGGCACTTGACCCCAGGTAAGTTGTCAAACCATTCTCCTTTTGACTACTTACCTTTCTGAGGGTGCTAGAGCTGTAGTGGTTATTGGGGTTGGAGTGTTCCTTTAAGCCCAGTACCATATTTAAATACCAGATATGCACCTTATACATTCCCACATATTGACTGGTTAAAGCAGTGGTGTGTTTTGGTTTTGTGCTGCCCTAGGCATGACTAAACCTGGGCACCCCCTAATTAAAATTTTCCCCTCCCCGATTAAGAACCCTCTTTAGACTGCACCTTTTCCTACTCCTTTAAAAGGGATACTATAGTGTCAGGAGAGTTTTTTCCTAGTTCCTTATAGTGCCCTCCGTCCTCCTGTTCTCCCCCCTCTCCTCCCCCCGCCACTGGGCACTGAAGGGATTAAAACTCCTTCAGTCACTTACCTGAATCCAGTGCCGATGTCCCTCAGCACTGGGTCAGGCTTCTCTGTGCTTACATTAGGCTTCCCTATAGGAAAGCATTGTATCAATTATTTCCTATGGGGATTTAGCAGACACTGGATGTCCTCATGCACAGCGTGAGGACGTCCAGCATCAGTTAGGTGACTTTTGGTCGCCTAACCACCCGGAAGGAGTTAACCCCTCAAAGTAATTATTGCATTTTCTGAGAAACTAAAATAATTAAATTTTCAGGATTAAGGGGAGTATGACACTGCACCCAGACCACTTCAATGAGCTGAAGTTGTGTGGGTGCCTATAGTGTCCCTCTAAGCACACAATCTGACAGGCGCACACACATTCACTGACAGACACACACTGGCAGATACGCACTGACCATCACACACACACTCAATGAGAAACACACAGATGTCACTGACAGGCACAGACTCTTTCATTGACAGACATACAAACACTGACACACTCATTGAAAGACACACACTGACAGTCACACAGACTCAATGACAGACTCTCGCTAATTTGACACTCACAAACACACACACACCCATACTCACATGCATGCAAACACTCAGTCACACACACACTCATACACAGGGACGTATTAGCCGCGAGGCAAACAAGGCATTTGCCTTGGGCGGCATTTTTCAGGGGGCGGCAAAAAACGCCGCCCCCCAAATGCCCAGGGCAGATGCCTTGTTAGCCTTGCGGCTAACTGACATCCCGGGCGGCCGGCGAGGGAGCACTTCCCATGAGCTGACTGCTCAGCTCCCTCGCGCACCGCAAAGTGAGGCTGGGAGCCGGAAGATGACGTCATCTTCCGGTTCCCAGCCTCACTCTGCAGCCGACGCGCGAGGGAGCTGAGCAGTCAGCTCATGGGAAGTGCTCCCTCGCCGGCCGCCCGCCTGCCAGCGCCGCCCGCCCTGCAGCCACTGGACCACCAGGGAGAGAGACCCCCCCCAGCACTCCCAAAGGTAAGGAGGTTGGGGGGGGATTTAAATTTAAAAAAAAGTTAATGTGTGTGTGTGTTTGTGTCTGACTGTGTGTGTGTTTGTGTCTGACTGTGTGTGTGTTTGTGAGTGTGTGTTTGTGTCTGTGTATGTGTCTGACTGTGTGTGTGTGTGTTTGTGTCTGACTGTGTTTGTGTCTGTGTATGTGTCTGACTGTGTGTGTGTGTGTGTGTTTGTGTCTGACTGTGTGTGTGTATGTGACTGTGTGTGTCTGTGTGTGTTTGTGTGTGTGTTTGTGTCTGACTGTGTGTGTCTGACTGTGTGTGTGTGTGTGTTTGTGTCTGACTGTGTCTGTGTATGTGTCTGACTGTGTGTGTGTGTGTTTGTGTATGTGTCTGACTGTGTGTGTGTGTATTTAGAAGGTGGGGCGGGGGGAAGGGTTGGGTGGGGGTGGCGCGGGGGGGAGGGGGGCGCCTGAGTTTTGTCCTGCCTAGGGCAGCACAAAACCAGGATACACCACTGCTCATACACACACACTAATTAAGTGTTCTTGCATGCCAAGACCACTTACTATTATCTTGCATATATTAAGTGTTCTTGCAATGCAAGAACACTTACTATTTTCTCACATATATATTATTATAGCCAAATTTACCACCCTAACTCCTCCCACAGTTTTTACACTACATAGACCATAATATACTGAAACGTGTGGATTGTTCCCGATCGGTGTGCTATTACTTTGTAGAACTTTTCACTGAATGGTTCACGAAATATCGTCATTTTTGTGGCAAAATTGGTCCCATAGAAATGAATGGCGGAATGTTCAAAACTAGAGTGGGAGCTGAAAAAATCAGGACATGATTTCTTAACTGCCACCATTCCCTCATTTTCAAGCCCACCTACACAAATCTTATATCAAAACGTTCAGCTATCCCTGCAGCCATAGTCCTGATAGTCTTCACAATATGACCATTTGTTTGCAACTCACATCGTCCATTGACATTCATTGAAACTCCACTCTAGACACCTCAAATTTGAAGGGCAATTTCTAAACTGCGACTGTGCCTTCATTTTTAATATTTCAGAGACCTACTATGCAAAATGTAGATCTGGGTCTTGTGATTCTCACAATATAAAGCTCATCGCTGTAAGATTTATAGTTTTTAAAACTACGACCGTTTGAAGATGGCAACCGCCAGTGAAGTGAGCAATTTGGATCAGTTTGTTTTTAACCACTCTTCTCTGCCCTTGCTGTAGAGTGAGTTGCCATAGGAACCCAGGTGTGCGAGCAGCCAGCAGAGTGTTCTGGAACAGGCTGCTAGATGAAACACATTCTCTAAACTGCTGTCATTCCTAGAGTTTTGATAACCCAAAAATAAATATATTTCGAGCCACTCCAAATAGTTACTTTACTCACTCCAAACACTCCACACAGTTACTCTGCCCACTCCATAAAGTTACTCTGCCCAGTCCAACCTTTCCACAGTTACTCCAGCCACTCCAACCACACAACAGTTACTCAAGCCACTCAACTCAGATACTCCACCCCCTCCAGTTGTAGATTACTGGTGGAGGCGAGAACACTTCACACAATTTCCCCCGAAATTTTAGGTTTTCTAGTTATTCATATTATTATAATACTTTTTACCCAGCCTTCCTAGCTGTCGTTGAGGGTCCAGTGGGGCTGCTGTGAGAACTGTGCGTGCGGCTGTGTTAGAATCATAGGCGGCGAGCGATCTGTGCTCTCCCTGCTTTGCTCCATTGCGCCTAGTGGGTCATCTACTGATGCCAGGAGCTGGAATGACGTCATATTCCGGATTCGGCGGCATCAGCAAACCGTCCCATATTCCGCGGCATCAGCAAACGACTTGCGAGGGAACAGAGCAGGGAGATCCCAGCTCAATTGCCACCTTTGCTTCTAACACAGCCACACGCCGGGGGGTCCATAAGATGGCCAGCAGGCCACCTTATGGACCCCACCATGACAGGGGATGTCTGAGTGGGCGTTTGGGGGCATGATTTTTTGCTGCCCTATGGTTAATGCCACCCACGGCAAATGCCTAGTTTGCCTTGGGATAAATACAGCACTGGGTTAAAGCAGCGATAGAAGAAGGCCATGCTCAACCAAAGCAGATAAATGTTAGGTGTCTTGCCCAGGGACACTTACTGGTCACGTGGTATGACCAGGATTAAAACCTGGGTTTCCTGGTTCAAAGGCAGTGCTGTTACCAATGCTTTAATTAGTCAATATGTAAGAATGTATAATGTGTATACAGGCATCTGTGGTTTAAATATGGTACTGGGCTTAAAGGCACACTCCTATGACCTCAGATGCTCATTTCTCTTGCTTCCAACAGAGAAAACTAACTGTTCACTTTATTGACAGATGCCACTGTCACTGGTTTTAATGTTGTGGATGATCAGTGTAAATGCTAATAATTTTTTTTGTAGAAAGTGACACTTTCTAAAAAATTTTGTTTTTAAGGTCAATAGGAATCACCTTATATGTGTCGAGCAGCATTTACTTCTATTACATATTTTCATTTTTAATAATTTTTTGCACTTTTCTGTTTACATTTTATAAATGCTAATCATAACAACTCACCATAGAAATTACTCTATATTGCAAAATGACACAAATGGTTGTTAATATAACGAATGTACATTATTTAGCTGTCTAATGGCATTACAGGCCTCGCTTAAAGCACAGGTATTCAAATACCAAACCAGTTAGATTTCTGGGTCCTGCCTTAGTTCCAGCTTTTGTGCATTAAAAACTCTAATATTTTAGTCAAAACTCCGGTATCTCTACGGAGCACAACCAACTTGCGACTGTTCAGCATGGCAGCCAGGCCCTGCCCCTCAACTCCCATAAACATTTTACCAGTAGGTGACTTTAAAAGGTTGGTGTAAGCTAATTTAGTAGCTGATATTTTAAAACATTTTTATTAAAGGTTGAAATGTTTTTACAGAAAAAATAAATAATGGAGTAATATATCCAATGAAACACTTTAACTTGGCCCAGTAGTCTAGAAGTCGTACATTATTCCCCGTG